CTGGTGGGACGAAGCGGAAGGCGGAGGAGTCGGAGGCTTTGGAGAAGTTTAAGGCTAGGGAGGTTGAGGTTGATGGGAAAAGGAAGAAGGTTTTTGAGCTTGGGGAGGAGGAGATGGCTCGTGTCGCTGGGGAAGAGAAGGAGAGGTTGAGGAAGGAGTTGAAGATGGAGAAGGTTTGTGGTTGCTCTTTTTCAGCTGGAGCTTGGAGCTTGAAGCTTCGGTCTTCAGTTGGGAGTTTGTTTTGTTTAACTAACAACTTCGCTCTAGTCGTCTAGTAAATCCGCTCTGCCGTCCTTCTGGGTCCCGTCTTTAACGCCCAACACGGACGCAAATGAAATCACCGCCAACAAGACCGTCAAGTTGACGCCTCTCTGTCCTGGCTCGACGGATGAGAGTCGGCATAGCTACTCGCTCAAGTCGCTTGTCGAGGTTAATTTCACGGAGGAGAAGGCTTCCGACGGGACTGTGTCCAGGGTGTGTCCGAGTTGCAAGAAGAATTTGAGTAATGGGCTCAAGGCGATGCGTATGTGGAATGGAAGTCGACACAGTCATTGGGTCTTGCTAATCATCTCTTATGACAGTCACGAAGCCCTGCGGACATGTCATTTGCTATCCGTGCGTAACGAAATTCATGACTCCCCACGAACACCACATCCCCGATCCACATGCCTCGAAGGAGGAGCAGGAGAAGACTGCTGCTCTCCATGGCCAGGTTCTATGTTACGTCTGCGAGACAGATCTTACGGCGAAGTCAAAACCAGAAGACAATGGGAATGGGAATAGCAAGAAGTCTAAGAAGAAGGATAAGGACACTATTCAGTCTGGTCTGGTGGAGATCTCCTCCGAGGGGACTGGGTTTGCTAGCAAAGGTGGGAATATGGGGAAGAAGACCGGAGTTGCGTTCCAGTGCTGAGCAACTCTGTGATAACACGAGAAAGGAATATGGAACACAACAGGTTTCGATTATGTGTACGATAAAAATATCCTGATATTGCCGCCCGGAGCGGTTATTAACGCCCGAACCATGCAGATAAAAATGTTTCTAGATATACAGTGAAGCCATGCGAGAAGCCAACAGGGCGAACCTAGTCTCTCTCTCCTCTCCTATCTGCAGCCTCAAGCTCAAGAACGCTTATTGGCATTGTTGAACTCGCGCACAGTGATCGAGCAAGCCACCTCCTGACACAAGCGACGACGACGACTGAGGTCCAACTTAGAGCCGAATTCCAACCCGGAAGCACGCTCAACAGCCTCGAGAGGAACCTCAAAGTCAGTCAGACGCTTATCATTCGCAATGCGAGCATTGGGCAGAACAAAAGCACCCAGCGCAACCTTGCTCGTCGGCGAGTTGGTGCCATCCTCAGCATAGATAACCTTATAGAAGTGCGTGGGCACAGCCACGTTAGGCGGGTTACCAATAACCTCGTAGTTAACGCGCCACTTTCCATCCGGGTCACGGTGAGGCAGGTACAGGGGGCCAGTAACGATGCGCACGGAGGGATAACGCTTAGCGAGATCACGGCAGAAAGTTTCAAAGTGCGCCCAGTAGTCGCGGTTAAAGCCTTCGCCGACCTGTGGACACATATTGCTCAACGCGAAGGTGCCGTCCATCGCATCCTGCGACCACTTCGCGTCTGCGGCAGGCACCTGGTGTCCGCGGTCATAGCCCGAGCGGAAATAGTCGGACAGTTTGGCGCGGAACATCGCCGGGACGGTCGTGTCCTCGAAGAAAGTGCTCTTCTTCCGGTCGGCATGGTTCATGGCCAGGGATTCTGGTGTGATGTGTTCTGCGACCCAGGATGGGTTGCGTGTGCGTCGGTCGTAGGCGCCGTGCAATGGGAGGGAGGAGAGCTCGTCGGCAATTGGGCCCGGGAAGCCATATTGGAGGATTCCAGCTGCGTCGACGGGACCGGTGGCTAGCCTGGATGCTAGGGCTGGAGCTGGGATGGTTGAGGGCACCTTGGGACCTTGGGTTGTTGGTGTCCGGGGGAGGGTTTCTTGTTGTTGGGGCTTTGAGGGTTTGCCGGAGAAGAGCAGCGCAGTGACACCAGCTCCGGTAGCTGCGCTAGCGGCAGCGATGACAGCCAGAGTTGCTTTGGACATGGCTGAGCGTCCCTTGTCTATAGGCAGGGCTGAGGTTTGAGTGTCCAGGAACCGAAACACAAAGCAATAAAATCGATGGGGAGTCACGGGCCAATCACATCACATGGAAAACCCCGAACTATTACTAGGGTGTTCTGCATGCACAGGTGGGAGGTGACTTGTATAAATATATTCTCTTCATTCTCTTGCTCTTGAATATCAGGGTTCTTGTGATTTTCTTTGAGTCCGGTGAGTCTAAAATTACTCGAATCACCAGATACTATCAGTTGCATACCCCTTGCACGTGTGCCTTTGATCATATGAGAGGGTCAAGTATCACACAGGTTGCAATGAGACGACATTTATAGACCTCTGCTTGGTACATTCCAAGGTTTTCTCCATATCTCACAGTCTCAAGGACTCTAACAGTGGAGATTCACGATGCCAAACCATTCCACATCCCAGATCCCAGCCATGAGGGGGCGTGCAGAAGTCCAGTGAGAACCTTGGGGACGATATGCACTGTCCTCAAACAGCAGGTGATTGGCATTATAAACGCTTCTTCATAAACATCGTCATATTTTCATTTCCACATAGAGATAGAGAGGCAAAGCGTTGACCGCCAACCTGCAAATTACATCACCGTTTTCATTTCCAAGATTTCTTCAACTCCCCACGCCATGTCTGCCAACGACCTCCGGGGGTGGGTGATGAGCGGTGTCTCAGGAGTTGGTAAGTGTCCCTCGAGATAGAGATATCTTCATCACTAATTGTATTCAGCCTGCGTGCTTGGTTCCTCTATCATCTGCGTCGATGTGCTGGTGCAGGCGCTTTCCCGCCGCAAGAGCTTCCAGATAGCAAACAGTAGTAATTTCCTGTCGGCATCATTATGTCTCAGTGCTGGAGTCATGGTGAGCTATCATCCTAGAGGAATGTATGGACTATACTAATTCTTGGCAGCTCTTTACCTCCCTCTATAGCATGCTCCCCACCTCGAAGCAGTACCTCACTCGCGCCGGCTTCTCTCCCGCTGTATCTGCATATATGTTGATCGGTCTTTTCATTGCCGGAGTCGCAGGCATTCAAATAATATCCGCATTTGCACACCGATATATCCCATCTCATGTCGTCGACTGTGCCCATACCCATGACGGGTCGGAAAGTGATCCCGAGCGCGGCGAGCGCGGCGAGCGCGCACGGGAGGACCACGTCTCCAACGGTGCAAATCGGCCTACCGAACGAACTCCGCTGTTGCGACCTAATAAGCCATCTTCATTCAAGTCAACGCCAGCGGTGGTACAACGGAGCCAACATAGTGAGCCGGCGCCGAGACGCGAAACGATGCGGGCAATCCTAACGCGTCGCATTACGTCGCTCATGGGTGGCGTAAAATCCACCTGCGATGAGGACGGGCCTTGCTTTGGGGTCTCTCAAACCTGCGGTCTGGAATGCACCAAAGTGCTTCCGCCATCCAACGGCAATGAAACCGTGCGACCAAATTTGCTGCATCGTGAAAGTCTATCCGTGCCGCTGGAATCAGACATTTCCCGGGCGGAAACTGAGGCTGACAATGAACATACGCCCACTGCCTCGGAAGGGGGGTATTTTGACAACATCTCTGCACATCACCACATTCAACAAGATCTTGCTTCGTCCGATTCGTTTCAGATCCCAGACCCGCATTCTTCAAGTCATCTATCTCATTCGCATCCTGAGTATCATCCTCATTCCGAGCATCATCCCCACTCCGAACATCAGCATCAGGACGAATCTCATGGCTACCGCGACGATATTGACTCCGGGCGTCCCAAGTCTGCCGGTGGCAACGCCCACCACCATCACGTCCCTAAAAATGCATTCCTCTCCATTGGACTCCAGACCTCACTCGCCATTGCTCTGCATAAGCTTCCCGAGGGATTCATCACCTATGCCACCAACCACGCCAGCCCAACCCTCGGTATGACAGTATTCCTGGCTCTGTTCATCCACAACATCGTGGAAGGCTTCGCCATGGCACTTCCGCTCTATCTAGCCCTCAACTCCCGCTGGAAGGCAATGTTCTGGTCCAGCCTCCTGGGAGGTATCAGTCAACCAGCCGGCGCTGGCATAGCCGCACTTTGGATCTGGAGCACCGGGCAACGCGGTAGTGAGGATGGCACAGGTACCTCCTGGGGTATATATGGAGGTATGTTTGCCGCCACCGCCGGAGTGATGACTTCAGTTGCATTGCAACTTTTCAGCGAGGGACTTGGTCTCACTCATCGGCGGGGAATGGGAATTGGGTTCGCCGTTGCAGGTATGGGGTTGATGGGCCTCAGCTTTGCATTGACTGCTTGACCAGGGCTTTGGTTCTGGTGACCATCTCCATAATACACCTGGCGTTTGGTCCTTTATGACCCTTACGGCTGGCATGCATGAACGCACATATTAGGTTTTGCTTTTCACTACATTCATTCGACATGGCCAGTGTAGTCCTGCACAAACTGGAAAGGGTGAGTGCTCATTTGGACAATACATGTATTTCTTATCAACATACCTGTTACGGTCGAATCGCCGATGTGGTGGAAGCACATTGCTTAGTACTCTTGGGTACTATATGTGCATTCATCGTGCAGAAAATGCATTAGAATTAAAAATATCTTTTCTCCAGTTCATAATGTAACTCACTGTGGACAAGCCAGCTCGACGTAGAAATTATCCCAACTCAACGCCAGTACGGTACATAGGATCAAACCAACTGTAATACACCTATAATGGAGCTTTTGTACGATTATATGTGATGTTGGGCGCTTGGCACAACTACAGCGCGAACCTCTTGCAATCTACCATCCTCCTTACATCCTCCCTCTCGTTCCGTGGAAAACATCACATCCACTCGAGACGAGAAACCAGACAGAATCGGGCTTTCCACTACAGCTATGTTTAGGCGCCCGAAACAGACCGAGCCCGACAGGCTCTCAATGAAACTTCGCGAGACACTTCAACCTCTTACGGTGATTCCTTGGGGAGCGCTTGCAATGTGGTATCTGGGTGTCGCCATCGGCGTTGGGGTAATGTTTACTTAAAACTGCGAACCCGTTCATGTTTTTGCTAACCATTCATATCCCTGTAGGCCCCCATGATTGTGGTGCAAGACGACGACTACAGAGCCGCCATTGAAAGGCTTGAGAGGGCAGGATTCAACCGAACTGTTCCAAATCGCGCCCCTCCTCCCGAAATCATGGAGGACCATCCAAACCCTCAGCAGATGTTGGAGGAAATAAATGCTGGTTATACAGGCTTGGATCGGTCTTGTGCAGTATTTGATTATCCACATGGTGATCCAGGAAAAGACATGCAGCTGTACTTGTTTCCGAACTCCTTCGCGCACCTTTTTCAAGAAGACATTCCTCACCCTTCGACGGAAATGGAAACCTACGGCAATTTGCATTACCCACTAGAACAGGCGCTAGTGGAAAGCTTTGTTAAGGCTGCGATCGATGAAGAAACAGAGACGGGCTTTTCTGCGTGGGGCGAAACACTGAGAACATGGGTATCTCATATGACAGGATACCTAGAGGTCGATAATGATATCCTTGACCATTGTCCGAATAAAAAGGCAGTGGAATGGTATAGTGAAAGGTTTGGTCGAATCCGTGAGGCCAATTTCGGTCCCATTGATCGACGCATTTCGAAACGTCTCGGCTCGGGAAAAGAGATGCCAGTAGATATGAGGGGGAATCCTATTTGATAACGGTTTTCATTCAGCTACATATTCCCTTGCTACCTACATATGTAGGTATCTGCATAGGTGGGAGAGGAAACAATTCTCGAAGAGCGCTAACATTAGGACCGGTGGCTAACAGTGCTTGAAAGTTACGGAAAGGCGTTTCTGGCCTCGAAAGTCATCGTCAATTTGGGTGTAAACATGTAAAACAGAAAACGCCAGCATAAACTCAAATCCGAATATTTTGATATAACAAAATTCCCATACTTAGAGAGCCTGCACCGAGATACGTCTCTGAGTACCGTTACCACCCAATCCAGCGCCGCTAGACTCACGCAGATGATTGCGGTGCATCTGACCCTCCTCCTCCATATCCTCAACATCAATACTAAACCGTCTCGGCTTCGACCAAACCCCGAATTCCGCACCACCATTCGCCTCACCAACACTCTTAATCTGCTCAGACTGCACGCCGAAGCGATCCGCCACCGACTGGAACAGCTCCGCATGCGCCGAAGCCCGGCTAGTGGTCTGACCAGCTCCTAGACGTGCCTGGGAACGGCGCAGCAACTCCATATGCTGCGATGCGGTATCAGCGACATGGGCATGGCCCTTCGCCTCGGAGTCGCCGAGCAGGTCGTACAGGATTCCTTCGTGCAGAGTCGCTGCAGACTGGTAGTCCTCCGAGGCTGTGAACAGAGCGGAGAGAAGCTTGGTCATGTCCAGTGTGACCGGGTCGCAGCTGCCCCACACCTGACGCAGGTTGTAGCAGATGTCACGGCAAAGCTGGATGGCGGACTCGACTTCGCCGCGGCAGAAGCGGGTTTCCACTAGTCGTCGTCCGATCCATACAACCACGTCCGGTGTCCAGGTGCGCTGGACGATTCGGGAGGTCCAGAGCTGGGTGAGAATGGCTTCGAGCTCGTCGAACATCTCGTACTGGCCCAGAAGGGTGATGATGTTGTTGAGGTGGTTGAAGGGTAGATCGACCATCTCGATGCCCATGGACTTCGAGGTTGCCATGATCTCTTGCAGAAGCAGCTTGGACTTGATGGACATGGCTTGGTAGGTCTTGTCGTCGGTGCACTTGTTTGCCTTGTGGCCGCTCAGGTACAGGCAGAGCTGGGTGGCGGTGTTGACGCTTTCCTGGCTGTTGAGACCGTCGGTAAGATGTAGGAAGGAGTGCAAGACGCCTGTCAAGATGGTGGCTTCCTGGAAGCGGGAGGAGTTGCACAGGTCACGAACGAGGTTGGTGGTCGTTGTGAGGATGTTCATGTTGTAGTTCTCTCTGTGAACTTCGCGCAGACATATTTGGTAGAACTGCTGCACAATTTCCTTATCGGAGACATTGGTAGCGGACAGGTTAGAGCAGAAGTAGTCGTACAGCTTGTCCTTAGTGTCGTTGGCAGCGCGAACTCGCTTCTGCCCAATCTGGAGATCGTAGAGCTTGTGACCAGTGATCAGAGTGGGGATGAAGTCGTGGCTGGAGAGGCTCTTGGAGAAGGCCTGAGAAGTCCTCATCTCACGGGCCATCTCGGCCATGATCTGGTTGTAGCTGGCACGTCTGCCGAAGACTTCCTCGAAGGCAGCGACAAAGACGGCGTCGCGACGATCGCTCAGATCCGCCGCGGAAGATTCGGAAATGTAGACCACGCGGTGGCGGAGTTCGTCAAGGAGATTGTTGCCGCCTTCAATGAAGCCGCACTCAAGGTAGATACTTGCGATCCGGCGAGCCCAGTCACCCATTGTCTCAGTGTCACCGCCAGCATGTAGTACATCGGTAGAATAGGCGTGGAGAATGGCGTTGCCCTGTTGAACAGAAGTAGACGTTCCCTGTCGCGAATGAGCGAGGGCAAGTTCACGGAGCCAGGAGAGAGTTGTGGTGGAGAAGTAGCCCTGGTTCTTCTTGGCCAGCTGGAACTCTTCAGTGTAGAGGGAACGGGCTTCCATAGTCGAATCATGCTTGCGCACAAACAGCTGTGCCAATTTGTGTTTGAGGGTAATAGGCAGCGGTGTAGTCATCTGGTCGAGACCCTTCGACGACTGAGAAGGAGCCACCCACTCGCTGGTTTCCAGAGGCAACTTGTACAGCGAGATGGCTTGGTCAACGTGTGCATCGCTGGACTCGCACAGCTCGGCAAAGAGTAAGGTGGCATTGAGCGTCTTCTCACTTGTTGCGCCGTGCACGTGGCGACAAGTCATGACATACTCAGAGGCAACCCGGTACCGCTCAGAGAAGTCGGACCTCTTGTGCGTAGTCAGAATAGACATGTAGCCCAGATAAGTCTTCTCCAGCATGCGGTCTATCAACCCATGATCATAGGCATCTACCTTATTATCTTCAACAACCAGGGTTGGCCAGAGAGATCGGTACACATGCAAAGCAGAATCCCACTGCATCTCCTTCTCGTAGAGGTTGATGAGGGCAATGGCAGCGTCCATGCCTTCTGGGGCAATTGTGTTCTGACGGGAAGTAGCGTTGAAGATGCGCTGATAGATGCTCTTAGCCTCACTGTTCTTCTCCAGACGAGTTGCCAAAGCAGCCTCGAGATACATATTATCGATGGTATGCTCATGTCTCTCTCCGAGACGAGCGGCCAAGAAGTTGGTCATGGTATGGAGCAGAGTCAGCGCCTTGGTGAACTGGTAGGTAGTCTCGTGGAACTCGACGACAGCCTTGGCAACGGCCATCACCGACGGTACAGGGACTCCGGCAGAGGAGATCAAAGAACCGAAGGCATTCTCATAAACAGCTGTAGCTTGTTCCAGATGCAGCCTGCGGAAGTGGCAGTAGGCCAGCACCAAAGCCAGGTCTGCCGCGGGAGGTGCCAGCTCGGGCGAGAACTTCTGGTGGGATTTGGCTTGTTCGACGGTGGGCCAGATATGCTGCAAAACCGCCATCGAACATTCACTGGCTTGGGTCCATTCTCCCTCGCGCACGTAGATACTGGCAAGGTTGTGGCACAAGATCAAGGTGGTGACAGTCATATTGTCGGGACTGGCTGAGATAACGTCCAGCAACTCAATCAGCAGCTTGCGGTCCCGAGAAGACAGAGAGGATGCATCCTCAATAGAGACTGCGTTAGCCATGCTCTGGGCAATTGAGAGCGCCAGAGCGGTCGACTCCTCTGAGTACTCTTGGTGAGTCTCCTTGTAGTACCGCCACATGAGAATTGACAAGGAGCGATCGAGATTGTACATAAGCATCTCCCGAGTCTCAGCGCGGAGAAGGTGCACGCGTTGCATCATCTCCTCGGAGTGAATACCAGTGACCTCGAGATCTGCAACCAGTTCACGGATGATGACCTCAGATTCATCATTTCGGCCCTGACGGCGGAGGAACTGGTAGTACGCAAGGGCGACATTGGCCTTTTTGTCCATCATATCAACCGAGTCAATGTCACGCGAGTTGAGACCAGCCCAGAGGCTTGACAGAACTGCCTGGGCGTGAGCCAAATCACCCTGATCCTCATACATCTTAGCCATGTACAGAGTGTAGGAGATTCGGCGCTCGTCGGTGACCTCGATGGTGCGCACCATATTGTCATACTTGGTTCTGGCAATATCGCGGCTCATCTCGTCGGTTCCGGTTGTGGAGAAATGACTGGCCAAGAAGTCGGCAGTCTCGGATGACTGGCGTGAATTGGTGCCGTATTTTTGAAGAACTTGCTGGTAGAAGTGTTTCGAGATGAACAACGCGGACTGATTGTCGTTGCGGGACTTGTACATGCTGACGATCATTCCAAGGTACTTCAGGCGTCGATCAAACTCCACCCCGGTAATCTCGGAGTCGGTCAAGATCAAGTACTTCATGATGTCTTCCTGCTGAGAGGTGATCGTGCCTCGGTCGGAGAACGACTGTATCATCATCTCGGAGCATGTCAGGGTAATCTGGTGTGACTGGCCGAGAAGCTCCTGGCTTAGCTTCCACGCTTCGTAGCAGGTCTCATCGGCGTGTCTGGCGTGCGCCAACTTGGACACGCGTGCGCTGAGGACCAAGCTTTGTAACAAAGCGATGGATTTCTCGCCGAGAACCAATCGGCGAATGTCACTTGCAAGTCTATAGAGCTCCACGACACTAGACCGAGTGAACTGGGACTCGCGGCAAGTCAACTCGAGGCGTGCGAAGAGAACGGTGGCAGGCATGAGCTTCTCGAAGCTTGGATTGAATTGGAATTCTTCGTCATCGGTAACCAGGGGAGAAGAGAGAAGATGCGACAGCCAGTAGCGTGCGGTGTACTCCAAGGCGACATACTTGTCGAAGAGATGGTTGCGCTCCTCAATGCCCAACCTATCCATGGAAATATCAACCTCCTCACGTACGCTCAAATGCACGCAGGAAAGGCACCTGGTGAGCAAGTCGTAGTGTGCATCTCTCATACTGAGCTTAGACTGTCCACCGGATGACTTGGCCTGTTTGATAACGTGGTCACGGATGCAGGTGTGAGAGAAAGAGACCACGCCATCACGGGTCATTACCAGTGGGCTTAGAGCATTCAAGATGTCATAGCTACTAGCGGTTTGGTTGGAGGAGTAGCTGGGGCCCTTGGGGTCCACATTCAGCAAATGCTCAATCTCTTCGACCAGCAGGGGTCTCTCGGCTACTACGAGCCAGGAAACAACATTAACGGTACCCTGCTGGCTAAAGTCGAGGCTCTTGGAGTGGAAGTCAATAAGTTCTGACATCGACTGCGGCAGGCCCTGAATGGATGCAACAGCCTGGCTCAACGTCTTTTGCTGGTTAGCATATGCAACTGCCATTTCAGCCCAACTGAAAGAGCCCTGAGAGCGGCCTACAATGGCAGACACAGCTGTTTGAAGCTGGTTGCCCTTGTGGGTGTCAAAGTTCGCGCTAGATGCAAGCAACTTGTTGACATACGCTGCGAGGTCGGCCTTGGTCTGGGAGGTCTGCAGGGTAAACTGCTGAACGCCCTTGGAGCTGACCTTCGAGCTCAGGGGCCGGGTGAAAGCGATCATCTTAGATCCAGCATTCTGTTCGGAGAGAATCTCACAGAAGCGATCAA